CCATTTTGGTGGTGCACTGTTTGGCTTTTTTTTCTTGTTTGTTGATTTTGCATCCAAGGTATTCAATTATAACTGCAGCCGTGCTGTACATCAGTTGGCTTGTTTCTTTCAGTGAGCTGGTGCTTATAATTGATACTACAGTATTGGCATCATTTAATATTTTTACTAGTTGTTTCTTTGTAACAAGCTTCAATGTGGGCAACCTTATTCTGTTGTTTCTGTGCTGTTCTAGATGCTCACTTATTCTTTGTTTCAATTCCTCTTGTCTTTTAGTTAGAGAGCTTTGTTCTTTCTGAAGAGAAGGCTTTACTGTCTGAGCTGCTTCTGGCAAGGCTTTGCTTTCTTTGCCCTGAGTAGACCTTGACAGTTCTTCCAATTCTACTTCTGTGAATACTTAATTTTGCGTTATAAATCGGTGTTGATCTGCTAGCCTCTGTCCTGTTATTTTTGATTCTGGATGTTGTTCTTTCCAGAAGTGGTGCATTCTTTTCAGATATTCTCTTCTTGTTGGACATATTTGTAATAGGAAATCATTATTTCTTTGTTTTCAGTCTTTGTATATTTGCGACAGATAAACAACTTTTCTTCCAGTAGTTCTGCAGCTGCTGGCCCTGGTTACTCACCCAACAGTCCTGAGTCCTATAGCCCACTTGTCACCAGGAACCTAGAATATTTAGCGTGGTCCTTGTTGACCTGGGCGATGACCAATCCGGTATGGGTTTCTGTAAATTACATCTCACCATCTTGTTTATGGGAGAGGCACTCTGTGTCTGGCCTCTGATGAGACCTGTCCAGTATGGTTGAACCTCTGGCATACAATAGCTCTCATCCTCCTCAGAGCATGCAAGCTCCACAACCACATCAAAGTAGTGCCTCACTGGGGGATTATTAATGTTGTTATTATTGCAAATGAAAGAAGTGTGATGAAATATCATTGTGATAGGTGCATATTTTGAGGCAAGGTCTGCCTATTTTAGTTCTGCTCAGAACTTTACATTAACCCTAGCTGAGTTCGTCCCAATTAAGGATTAGGGAGCAGCAGAAAACCTGACCAGGGTCCTGGATGAAATATGTATCATATAAAACACGTTACAGCTACTTTGCAATATTATATATTTAAAATATTTACTCAGAGCTTTTTAAAAAGGGGTTATGATAAGCCAGTCAGTGTAGGAAGTTCTGCGTAACCATGAAACATGTGAAAAATGGCATCCACAGGATCTCAGTACTTTAGTCAGAGTGAGAGAAATGAGTTACAGGGCAGGGTCTGCTTCTTAAGGGCACTAGAGTGCCCATGGAAAAGGGGCAGGGTTTGTGCCATGATGTTGCTTTCATTGGTCTGTTGCCCTTTGCCTCCCCCCTATGCTGCTGTTGAAAAACACCTGCTTGGATAACTTGGAATGATTAATTTCGGTGCTGAATTATACAAACCACCATGCCTTAAATATATATATAACTATTATTAATACCTAATACATGGGGAAGTCCTCAATGGTAAATGTATTAATTTAGTTGCACATTTTTGTCCAGGAAGTTCATTTGTGCAGATAAATATCTCAACGGGGATTAAATTTTATTTAAAACGTGCTGATAATTTTTATTGGTTTTTTAATTTAAATTTGCACTTCTCATGCTCTTTCTGTGTACTGATTTTTTACTTTGTGTTTTGTTTTTGTTTTTCTGTTTGTTGTTTGTTTGTCTGTTTTGGTCTGCTACAATTTTTATCATGTAGGCAAGATGCAGGATGGAAATATGGAAAACAGCCAGAATAAAGGTAATGTTCTTTATATCAAGGGAGATGTTTAAAATTATCTTACAAAGCAGAATATTAGTGGTATTGGAGATTGGAGGGATTGGAGTTGGGGTAAATACTGGGACTGGGGTAAATAAAGGCTTTCCTTCCACTAACGGTGGTTGAGGGATAGGGAGAATGAGAATTTCCACCATTAGGCTACTGAGAGGCTCCTGCCAGCTTCTTGATGTAAGTATCAGTGCCATTAGAAAAAATAATGTA